ACCTCAGTCCTCTCAGTGGCCCTGAATCTACAAAACTTATTTTAGTTCCAAAATCACAATATGATTATTTAATAAGCATATTTCTATTTTTTTAAAAAGCTAAATATTTTTACCATTGCCTGTTAGAGATCCCCAGTGATCTGGGTGGGTGAGCCCACCTCTCTACTCTCCTACTAGTTTTTCTCGCTAGTCTTACTAGATTCTCAGACACACACAGAGTTCATTTCTACCTCAGGGTTTTGCCCTCAAGTTGCTTGGAAAATTTTATCTCTGTAGCTCAAATCTCTCCTTTTAAGCCTTTCTTAGTGTCACCTAATCTAAAAAAAAAACCCATACAACCCCATCATTCTCTTTTTCCTTATGCTGTTTATTTTCCTCAAACACCACTATTATGAGTTCTTTATTTATATGTTTATTATCTGTAGTCTCCCAATGGGGCGCACATGTGTCTTGCTTATTGCTATACCCTCAAAACTTAGAACAGATCCTATCTCTTGGTAGGTAATCAATAATGGGTTGAATTAATGAACAAACTCTTAAATGCATTAAGAAATCCAGACACATTGAAAATGGTTAACTGTTCCCGACCATAAGCATGATGTTCTTACACTTACTGAAAAAAACTACAGTTTCCCAATAGGTATCATCAATACAGAATTAGGGAACTCTGTAAAGATAAAGTCGCTGAACAGGCAATATTCTTTCCCCTTTGCCTTCCAACCTTAGCATTTCAACACTCAAGATTTCAAGAGAATGCTGTCACCCCCTGAATCTCTAATATTCAAAGACAGAACTCTTCTCTTAGTTCCCATACCAATACAGGATTAATATGCATTTGTCAATCATCAAACTTCCTGTGGCCAGGCGCAGTGGCTCACACCTATAATCCCAACACTTTGGGAGACCGAGGCAGGCGGATCACCAGAGGTAAGGAGTTGAGACCAGCCTGGCCCACATGGTGAACTCCCGTCTCTACTAAAAATACAAAAATTAGCGGGGCATGGTGGCAGGTGACTCTAATCCCAACTACTTGGGAAGCTAAGGCAGGAGAATCACTTGAACTTGGGAGGTGGAGGTTGTAGTGAGACAAGATCAAGCCAATGCACCCCAGCCTGGGTGACAAGAGCAAGAGACTGTCTCAAAAAAAAAAAAAAAAAAAAACCCTTCCTGTTTAAAAACTATTTTGTATTTTTCTCTCTTGCCTCAGTTTTGATCAAGTATGTCTTTTTCATAAAGAAAAAGGAAAGACTGAGTTAATCTTCATCTTCTAAGATCATTAATATGGCAATTAGTGTTTTGAGTAGTAAGGGGGTGGGAAGTATGTCAATATCAAATATTACTCAAAAGCATCACAGTTGGCTTATTTTCCCCATTGTGGAGAAGTGAATTGAGGGGAAAAAAAATCAGACTGATTTTCTTTTAAGAAATGAACCACTCTAACATCCTACGAGGCTATAAAGATTTCTAAGCAGGCCGTTAGTTACACTGCTTGATTCTTGACCTTTATACATAAAGGTCCTACTGCTAGTGGGAAGCTTTCTTTCCCTGAAGTAACAAGAACTTATGAATGCATCTAATGATATGCATTCTCAATCTCTAAAAAACGTGATTTTTTTCCCCTTCCAAAATAATCTCCCAAGATGAAAACAGCAATAAAACAATATGCCTAATAATAATAATATACAATCAGGGACTTACGTGACTGAAAGAACCTGAAAACTATTTTACAGACCATACATGCAGTCACGCCTCACTGAACAGTGGGGACAGGATCTGAGAAATGTATTGTTAGGCAATTCTGTCGTTGTGCAAACATCATGGTATACTTACACAAACCTAGATAGTACAGCCTACTACACACCTGGGCTATATGGTATAACCAATTGTTCCTAGGCTACTAACCTATACAGGATGTTACTGCAGGCAATTGCAACACAACGGTATTTGTTTATCTAAACATATCTAAAATACACTGTACAAAGGATTAAAAGATGGCACACGTGTACAGGGCACTGACCATGAATAGAGCTTGCCATCCTGGAAGCTGCTCCGGATATGTGAGTAATGAGTGAATGTGAAGGCCTAGGCCACCATCATACACTACTGTAGAACTTACACTGTACAGTTAGGCTACATTAAATGTATCTTTAACTATATTTCTTCAATAATAAATTAATCTTAGCTTACTGTAGCTTTTCTCTTTTATAAACTTTTTGGCTCTTCTTAAATAACATTTAACTTAAAAAAACATCACATTTTACAGCTATTGAAAAAAATTTTACCTTCTTATTCTGTAAGTTTTCTATTCTTTTTCTCTTTTTAAACTTTTGTTAAAAACTAAGATACAAACACATTAGCCTAAGCCTATACAGGGTCAGGATCAAGACATCGGTAGGCGACAGGAATTTTTCACCTCCATTATAACCCATATATACAGGACCACCCTTGTATATGCAGTCTGCCCTCGACCTAAACGTCGTTAGGCGGCACATGACTGTATTTTGGTTCTGTAACCTAAAACGTATCACTTTTAAAACACAGTATTTCTAATCAATATATATGAAAATGTCTGTCTCAAAACACTTCTCTATGTCTCATGGTAAATCTGCCACGAGTTCAATTAGACAATTCCCCGCAAAGAATCCACAGGTTTTCCCTTCTTTAGAAATGTCAACCATTTTGCCTTTTATTTTTTTCTGTAAAATTCAATTATGATGCACTAAGGGGCTGGGCCAAGTCTACACTAGCAGCAATTCCTCCGACCCTGAAGCTGAAACCCTGGCAGAACACAGGGTTTCTGTGTTCCCTCGCACACAATGCCCAGATCCCCTCTCCCTGGCTCTGTTTAGCTGGCGGGGAGCAGTCCACATCACACCCCGGTGAGCTGGGCGGTGGCAGGACTTTACCAGAACTCTCTTCTTCCCATTTTTCCACGCACCACACCACTGGAGGCGCTCTCCCTTCACTGCGGTTGGGTCAATGTGGACGTTTTTCACTCGGCCAGCTCCCCACAAGCATAGGAGGAGGGGGAGGGGAAGCGCAAAGGGGCCACCCACGCCAGCCAGGAGGTGAGGAGGGAGCCCGGGGCAGAATGCAGGCCAACAGACCCGTAGCAAAACTGCACCTTTCCCGAAGGAGCAACCCAGACAGGTAGACAAAAGGGCCTACTAAAAAGACCTGGGTGTCAAGGCCTTTCCATTCTCACCTCGAAGCCCAGCCAACCCAGTCAATCCACAACCCTGGTTCTCCGGTACACAACTGGCTTCTGCTACGGGTGGGTGCCTAACTTCGAGAATCGATACAATGGGCACCCCAGAGGGTAGAAGTGGGAACCAAGTGCGGTGCACGTGTTCCCTGAAACCAAGACAGACAATAAGAACAAGCCCGGGCTGCCGGGACCGCCCCACCCTTCTCCCCGCGCCTCCCACCAGACGGGGCGCCATCTCCCCGAAGTCTGCAGACAAAGCCCCCTCGGGGCGGAGAGGAGGGCCCAGCCCAAAGCATCTGGGGGAGCACACAAAAGAGGGAGGGGCACAAGGGGCGGTGCGAAACGGGAGGGTGAGGTACTCACCGACGGAGCCCGAGGAGCCCCTACGCTTGGGCGCGGCCGGAGTGGAAGGGGGCGCGGCGGGGGCCGGGGCGGGCGGGGTCCACGCGGGCTCGGCCGGAGGGCTCACGCTGGCCGGGGGAGGAGGGGGAGGCCGGGCGGGAGGCTCGTCGTCCTCAGGGAGCTTGGAGGGCGAGACTGCGGTAGCAGACGGTAGGGATGGCGCGGGCACCGTCGACGACACCGGGCTCGGGTCCCAAGACGGCTGTCGCTCTGGGGTGGCGGGGGACGCGGCCGGCAGGGGTCCCCGGGGCGCGGGCGGCACGAAGTCATTTCCGAAGTCCATCAGGGGCGCGCTGGCGGCAGGGGCTGTGGGCACCGGGGCCGCGGACAGCCCGGCGGCGGGCTTCCTCTCCAGCACTTCCAGCTCCTCCAAGTCTTCGTCCTCGTCCTCCTCTTCTTCCTCCTCCTCTTCCTCCTCTTCCTCGGGCTCCCTCACGAACTGGTACTTGAACGCGGGCTGCGGCCGGGGCGGGCTGTCAGAGGACGAGACCAGAGGCGACTGGTCCAAGTCTTCCATGGCTGGCGGGTAGAGATGATGCTGCAGGTGCTGCCGCCACCGCCGGGGCCGCGTCTCGGAGCCGCGGGAGGTTGTGGGGGTTGGGGAGAACTGAGAAGGGCTGGGCCAACCGAGCCGAGGGACCTGCTGTGGTGACGGCTCCCGGAACAATGAGACTGCTCCTCCAGCCTCCGCGCCGGTGATGCGCCACCCGCCCCGTCCCCAGTTGCCGCCGCCGCCCAGACTAGCTGGGAGAAAAGCCAGCGGACTCTCCGCCCAGTTTGGTGTGACTCACTCTCCCTGGCAGGGAGGGCAGGGACTGGCGCGGGAGGGAGAGAGCCAATCGGCTACAGGATAGAGAAGATAGACGACCAGCCGGGCCAACGGAAAGGGAAGGAGATGAAAGTGGGTGGGGATTACGGCACTTCCTCTCTCTCACCGGCTGGGATTGCGTTCAATAGGCGTGGCTGGGAGCTCCACCCACTTTGGTCAACAGTGTGTTGGGGTGGGGTCTTGGCCTTGCCCGCAGCTGGGGGTCCGTCTGTCTTTGGAACACTGGGACAGAGGGCGGGTTGCTGCTGTCTGGGAGGGGTCGGCGAGGTTCATGGCGCGCCACCGGAAGGGCGTTATCCTGGGGGACTGAGGGTGGAAACTTTCCTCCCGGGAAAGGAAAAAAACCGACTGGAGAAAGGTATTAACTGGACTGTGAAGTGGGCCCTAAGGATTTTTGAAGATTTTTGCTATACAAGATTATATTTTCACTTAAAGTTCCAAACCACATCACTACTACCGCCACCCTAAAATAAGAAAAAAAATTGTTGACAGTTAGGCTCAGTCTAAACTGCAGGCTCTGGAATTGGTAGGCAAAACAGCTGAGCTGAATTAACTGGGGATCTGGGGCCGACCATTTGAAAGTCTGCTCTTCTTCCAAAGAGGGTTTGGGGCCCTCCCTGCCTGCTGCTGGACTCTTACGTGTAGGAGAGTGAGTCACCCAAAGAGGGGGGAGGGGGAGAAAGGAAAGTGGAAATACAAAGATGCCTTGGAAAGCTAATTTGGTTCACATTACATTTCAGTCACCTGAGGTACATGAGTCAACATTTCAGATGATTCAGGCTTTCTGGGAGTCAGGAAGCCCAGTACTCATTGGTTTGATGTGCAGGAATAAGCATGACCCCCATTCCACCTTTTCTGAGACAGGAGAGTTTAAAAAAAACAGTTGCAGAACACATGAGAATCAGGATTCTGGGCCGGGCCCGGTGGCTCCCGCCTGTAATCCAGCATTTTGGGAGGCTGAGGTAGGGGCGGATCACGAGGTTAGGAGTTCGAGACCAGCCTGACCAACATGGTGAAACCCTGTCTCTACTAAAAATACAAAAATTAGCCGGATGCGGTGGCGCCTGCCAGTAATCCCGACTACTCAGGAGGATGGGGCAGAAGAATCCCTTGAACCTGGGAGGCGGAGGTTGTAGTAAGCTGAGATCATACCATTGCATTCCAGCTCTCCATCCTGGGCAACAGAGCAAGACTCCGTCTCAAAAAAAAAAAAAAAAGAATCAGGATCCTTTTATCTTTCTGATTTACTTTTCAAAAATGTTCTCTGCCTGACTACTCTGGAAGCCCTGGAGAGAAGAGGATACCTTGCTTTCAAGTTGCTCAAAGTCTTAATCAGTCTGTAGCCACAAGTAACCAGTGACTAAGGTATCTGCCTTAATCTGTTGATTGAACACTCAGAATGTATGTAGTTAGACTGAAATTAGATGTGCTGTTAAGTGTAAAATGAGCACTGGATTTCAAGAATTAGTACCCCCAAAATGTAAAATATCTCACCTTTTATATTAACTTAATGTTGAAATTGATATTTTGAATACATTGGGATAAGTATAATATTGCTAAATTAATTTCACTTGTTCTTTCTATAGCAGCTTCTGGAGTATTTTAAATACATAATGGCTCACATTATATTTATTTTACATAGTGCTAGTCTAGATTAATAATTTTAAAATGTTGATTGCCATGGGGAATCACTGGTTATTTAAGCAAATTCTTAGCTCCAACTAATTTACATTACTATAAGCTTAATTTGGGTATCACAAAAGTAGGAGTTGGAGGGAGGGATAAATAGGTGGAACACAGAAGATTTTGGGGGCAGTGAAACTGTTCTATATTATCCTTTAATGGTGGAAACATAACATTATGCATTTGACAAAACCCATAGGGCTATACAACAGAAAGAGTGAACCCTAATGTAGGCTATTGACTTTAGTTAATTATATATCAGTGTCAGTTCATCAGTTGTAACAAATGTACCACCTCAATGCAATATGTTAAGAATAGAGGAAACTGTGGTTAGGGGCAGGAGTGGGAGTGTATGGGAACTCTACTTCCTGTTCATTTTTTCTGTAAACCTAAAACTGCTCTAAGAAATAAAGTTTATGAACCTTAAAAAAAGGAAAAGAATAATAAAGATTTCCTGATAATGTTACTTGATTGGGTTAATTATCAACAATAGGTTCAAGACCTATCACATCAATTCCACAGATAACTGACTTTATTTGTACAGAATGTTTGTGACTTGCTTTAAGTTTGGTTTTATTTTTTGGAGGGGTTGGGAAGAGTAGGAAGTGAGACATATTAATGTAGAATTTTGGGGTGGGAGGTTAATACCAAATGAATTTAAACAAAACATTTTTCTACAATGTTGACTACAAGAGACATATTTCAAGTGTTTGTCAAATATTTATCAAAAATTATCAAAAATGCATGATTTTCATTCAACTTCATACACATACAAAAATACACTAACAATATTTTATGTTTCAGCCTTTTCTGTTGTCACAGTTTAGCTATCAGCAGTTCAGTCTTCCCTGTATGCATCTCCCACTGTGACTGATCTGAAATTCCTTAATGATAAGTGTCACAGGACTTTTATATAAGTCTAATATAAACAGGGCTTATGTTATTTGTAAGTTGCTTATATGATATTTCTGTATTCATATATCCCTGTACCTAAAATTGTCTCAGGGGAGTATCTTTAATCAAAGTTTCACAAAAGAATAATTATGAAAAGTAATAGATTTACAATTTTAATAGTAAATAGCAGTTAATATTGATGCAATAATATAAGCACTAACCTCTGGTGCAAAATAAAAATTTGTTAATCTCAGTGACTTCTAAAAAAATAAGTGTTTGATAGATAGATGAGTAAGGAGTTTGCCCAGCATTCATAGGATGATCAACAAAGCAAAAGAACGCTGCTGCTCTACCACAATTAAAAGTAAAGCTACTTATGCATTATTGTAACTGATATATATACATGTAAATATCACTGTCACTAACAATTCTGGTGGACTTGAACCAGTTAAAGGAAATATGCACATTATAGATCTTAATAATAATTTTAAAATAATTATTCAATGATTTACATTTGAAAATACCTTATCGGCTGGGCATGATGGCACACACCTGTAATCCCAGCACTTTGGGCAGCTGAGGCGGGTGGATCACTTGAGGTCAGAGTTTGAGACCAGTCTAGCCAACATGGTGAAACCCCATCTCTACTAAAAATACCAAAACTAGCTGGGCATTGTGTTGCATGCATGTAACCCCAGCTACTCGGGAGGCTGAGGCAGGAAAATTGCTTGAACCTGGGAGGCAGAGATTGCAGTGAGCTGAGATCGCACCATTGTACTCCAGCCTGAGTGACAGGAGACAAACTCCATCTCAAAAAAAAAGAAAAGAAAAGAAAATACCTTATCTGAAATAGAAGATTAAAGTTTTCAGATACCACTGGTTAGTAGCTGTTCTCTGTGAGAACATTACAAGAGATCCAGGCTGGTAGAATCACAGAATCTTAGGGTTGGGAGAACTTTTGGAGGTCAGCTCGACCAATCTCCCTTCCATGATCATGGTCTCACTTACAAGCAAAAGCTAAATAATGTGTACATATAGACATAGAGTTTGGAATGATAGACAATGGAGACTCAGAAGAGTGAGGGGCAGAAGTGGGGATGATAAGAAATTCCTTATGGGTACAATATACAATATACAGAGTAAGACCCTGTCTCTAAAATAAAATAAATATGAGTACAATATACATTATTAGGGTGATGGATACACTAAAAGGGTGACTTCACTACAATGCAATAAATACAGGCAACAAAATTACACTGTCAAACCCTGTACATTTATATAAATAAAAAATTTAAATAGTTTAAAAAAAAAGAAATTCTTAAGAGTGCCAAAATGATGTTTTGGCATCATTTTGCCAAATAGAAAGGTTGAAGGTAATTCAGTGGTGCTCCTGAACACATGCCACTCATTTTCCATAGGTGAAAAAGCTGTGGTTGACTGCGCTTGAAACAGGTGTGTCTGTAACCCACCTCTCATCTTTCTTCTCTTGCTGAACCATCCCTTTTGTACTTTTACTTTATAATTTATTCATTCATAAGAGAAATATCTGTTGGGTATACACTCTGCACCAGGCCCTGCTCAAGACTTTGAAGAATATAGCACTAAGCCAAACAGACACAAATGTGCTTCCATGTTTTCAGTAAGAGACCTACTACTTGGAAATCACCCATTCCATTTCTATAGTATTATGCCTCGTTTGCAGAATGCTAAATTGACACCTAAGTTGGTATTGGTAAAATAAGTTAATTATACTTGCATTAGGTATGCCCCTCAAAAGAGTTAAAAGGCATAGGATGGCTATACTCTAGTCTACATATAGCAGGATGTGAACTCCAGACTGGGTTCGGTAAGAGAAGAAAAATGAGAGGTGGATTGTAGACTAACCTGTTTCAAGAGCAGTCAACCACAGCTTTTCACCTCTGAAAATGATTTGCCGGTGTTCAGGGGCACCACTGAATGACATTCGACCTTTCTATTTAAAAAAGACTGAAACATCATTTTGGCACTCTTAAGTGAAAAATTAACAGCTTGATAAGTTGTTGTTCCTACCATTTTGTTGGGATTTTAGATTTTATGAAATGCGCCTTTTTGTGACATGAAGTTTGTGGTTCTGTTCAACATCTGAACTTATATTAAATCCATTCTGTAATAAGAATAGAAATATAAATGTAACATCAACTTCTTCAGCCATGCTAGTTAAGCACTGATAGTTGAGTGCTTAATTTAGTGTTGGACCTAAAATTAAAATGTTCAGTCTTAAAAAGAAATCACATAATAAGCAAGTGAAAGTCATCAGTAAAATTGAACCTAATCTTTCTCCTTTAACTGTTTTAAGCCCTCTGCATTATTAGAAATTAGGCTATCTGAATATGCGTTGTTTCCCTGGAGAAATTTATTTTGATCTAGCAGAAAAATTACTTCAGATCCAAGAAAGCTAATTTTGATCTAGCAGCACAAAACCAAGCAGAAGACATCCTATGCTGTCTTAGATAAATAAAAATGTGTCCTCATATGAAAAAAGAACTACAGAAAAGAGTCCACAAAATTAAACTCATTCTAATATATAACTTAGTTTTTTAATACCTAAAGGTTGAAGTGTAAGTTCTGTTATTTCATCTTCAATGGAGATAGACAGAAACCAAGTGGTCACTGTCTTTAAACATCATTCATTGATTCAACTAAAACCTACTGACCATCTAGGGTCTTCTGATAAGTAATAGATAAAACACATTTCCTAATGTCAAAGAATGTATAGTCTAGTTTATATAAGACATATGTATATGTCTATAAATATGTATATATAGAGATCTATACATATATGTATATGATATAGGTGTATGTATCTATATATACATGTGTATGTATGTGTTGTGTGTGTGTGTGTATATGTCTGTACACACACAGAAGCTCCACTTAATCCATGCTTTCACTTTCCAAGGTCTTAGTTACCCTCAGTCAGTTGCAGTTCAAAAATATTAAAATGAAAACTCCACAAATAATAAGTTTTAAATTGTGTGCTGTTCTGAGTAGCATGATGAAATCTCAAGCAGTCCCCTTCAGTCCCTCAAGGGAGGTGAATCATCCCTTTGTCTAGCCATCACACTGTCTATGCTCCCTCGCCTCCCCTCATGATATCACTTAGCAGCCATCTCTGGGATCAGATCGGCTGTCATGGTATCACAGTGCTGCATTCAGGTAACCCTTATTTTACGTAATAATGGACCCCAATGTGTGAAGGTAGAGATGCTGACAATTTGGATTTGCCAAAGAGAAGTCACACAAAAAGGTGAGCCAGCTGTGGTGGCTCATACCTGTAATTCCAGCACTTTGAGAGGGGGGGAATGGGAAAATCGCTCGAGGTCAGGAGTTCAGGACCAGCCTGGGCAACATAGCAAAACCCAGTTTCTACAAAAAATACAAAAATTAGCTGGGTGTGATGGCGTGTGTCTGTAGTTCCAGCTACCTGGAAGACTAAGTTGGGAGGATGACTTGAGCCTGGGGGTATCGAGGCTACCCCCCAAGTAGCCCTAATCACACCACTGCACTCCCACCTGGGTGAAAGAGTAAGACCCTGTCTCTAAAATAAAATAAATGCAAAGGTGAAAGTTTGTCATAGATATGTATGTATAAGAAAAAACAGACTATATACATTGGGTTCAGTAATAGCCACCATTTCAGGCATCTGGGGGTCTTGAAATGTATCCCCAAAATAAGGAGGACAACTTTATACTTCTGTGTGTGGGAGAAAAGAGAGAGAGAGGCATATTCCAGCAGGATTTGGAATAAAGCCTCATAAAAGTTGCTATTTGATATTTTAATATAGAAAAAGAAAGGCGTTTAAAGAAGAGGGAATAACATCTACAGAGGCAGGGTGAAATGAAACTTTGATAAAGATTCAAGACACAGCAATCTCTGCTATAGCTAGAAAGGTCCAAAGTGATAAAAAAGAAAACCAGAAAAAATAAGCCAAGTGCAGACTGAGGGTCTCAAGGGCCATGTTGAAGAGCAGAAGCATTAGTCTCCCAGAGTTATTAAAGGTCTTTTGAAGCAGTGTGATAGGATGACCTGATAAGTAATTTACAAGAACAACAGTGACAGAGGATGGATTTTGGGTGCTAGAGTGAGGAAGCCAAATGCTGAAAATGCAATTATAATAGTACAGGTAACCATTGCCTTTATTTATAGCTTCATTATAACAACTGTGGTTTCAGTGAAACATAATTACTGCTTCTAATTCTGGCAAAAGTTGATAAGAGCCTAAACTAGGAGCACAGGAAATAGAGAGGAAAAGATAAATTTAAAATACATGGAAGAAGGTGAATTCATAGAATCTGATGACTAATAGGATGGAGGGGCTAATGGAAAAGAAGAAAGAAAACCCGATTTGATGGCTTGAGCTTGGGTGAGAAGGGAAATTGGTGCTGCCCTTATCAAAGAAAAGAACTCTGAGGAAAGAGCACAGTTTGGATGAATAATGCTGGGAAGACTATAATGACCTGAGTTTTGAGGTACATTGAACTTGAGTTGACTGCAGAACATTGAAGTAGAAGTAATCAGAGAGCAGCTGGAAAACCAGGGCTGGACTTCAGACGGAAGTCTAGACTGGAGAGCAAGGTACCTAAATCTGTTAGTTAGCCTTCATGGGTCAAGGTTTGATGGGAAATGGTGGGGCTGGGGAAAGGTGACCAAGCAGGTTGCTGGGTACTGTCTGCTACTCATGGGAGAAAATAGCTAAGAACGCAGCCCTGGAAAACATGAATATGTAACACCTCTGATTGTACCTGAACCACATTATCTCCACTTAACTTTTATTTTTCCAAGCAAAACAAAACCAAAAACTCCTTTAGCTTTTCTTCACAGGTCCAGTGTTTTAGTTTTTACGTAGGTGCTCCTTTTTGTCTTCTCTATCCACCTTAAATATTAAACTCAGAACTCAAAATAGTATTCCAGAAAGTGTTCTGCATAATTGTATTTTTACCACAAAGCAATCAATAGTAATAGGTACAGCACCAATAATTTAAGCCTACAGATTGCCTGAAAATCTCCAGTAAGCTACTGACTCCAGCCTCCTAGCCAATAACAAGCAGAATTGCCTACTGGACTTTTGCCTCTTCCTGTAACCATCCACGATGAAGACCCTAAAGAAAAGGAAATGGCAAGAAGAAAAGTAATAAGAGATTAAGCAAGCTCCATTAAATTACAAAATTAACCAGATAATAAGTGATTCTCTTATATGTTACCTTTATGTATGAGTTATAGAATTTTAAAAAATCAATAGATCTATATTGCTCCTATTTCACTTGTTGCCTTTTATCCACAGAACCCAGAAACACAATCATCACAAGAAGTGCTGCAGTATATGACCTACCTGTGTCTTTGTTGAAACTCATTTACATTTGTTACTAAAAAGTTATTGTCATTTAGAATTTTCATTTTATATTCATTTTATTTATTGTCCTGAGGAGGATTTTTTCCTGTCAAGTGGTAAAGGAAATGTTAAACATTTATGAATAAAATGTTATTTAATCTAATGAGTTAAATGTGGTGTGTCATGTATTCATTTCTTCTCCATCCCAAAACCCTGTTAAAATGTCAGTAAAGCAATTTTTAAAATGATATTAATCAACAAGGACAAAGATAAGAGCAGAGACAACAATGGAGAAGATATTTCAACACATTTATGGAAGACCAAAAGCAAATGGAAGAGCAGTTACTGATTAGCAAAGTGGGTGAAGTTAAAACCTAAATATCTTTCAAGGGGCTATATCAACTAGAAGCAAGTCATTTTGTGTCACAGAACTCCTAGGAGCCCAGCCCTTGGAGGTACCAGAATTGGAAACAAATGGATTAAGTAAAAGTGGAATCCTTAGTCCGCATATCCCCATCCCACTCCCAAAAAGCCTGTTCCCCCAACTCCTGCTGTCTCCTATGCCCCATTTTCCCCCAGATAGGAAATGAGAGAATTTTTATGTGGTGAAACAAAATGGCTCCAGAGAAAATTCTTCAAAAAATTGGCATGTAGAGTACCTCAGTAAAAAGGCCTGATCAGCCCCACATTTACATCCTCTCAACTTCTTCCTTCTCCCCACAGAGCTTCCCCTACATATTTTTAAGGCTATACCCTTACACACGAAACAAAAAACAAGAACCACCTGACATTCCATAAAAGTCATGAATGAAAACAAATAGACTAAAAACACTTGAAGGAGCAGAAACATACAGAGAACAGAAGAAAATAACAAAGAAGCTATAATTAATATTTAGAGTAACTGGCCAGACGTGGTGGCTCACGCCTATAATGCCAGCACTTAGGGAGGCCAAGACAGGTGGATCATCTGAGGCCAAGAGTTCGAGACCAGCCTGGCCAACATGGCAAAACGCTGTCTCTACTGAAAATACAAAAAATTAGCCAGGTGTTGTGACAGGCACCTGTAATCCCAGCTACTCAGAGGCTGAAACAGGAAAGTCGCTTGAACCCGGGAGGTGGACGTTGCAGTGAGCAGAGATCATGCTACTGCACTACAGCCTGGGCAAGAAGAGCAAAACTTCATCTGAAAAAGAAAAAACCCTATTTAGAGTGAGATAAAAGAAGGTATCACATCCATAAAACAGAAACAATAAAAATAAAAAAGAGAACATGAAAGAATTTATAACTTAAAACTGATGATATGTTCATAGCAACATTATTCTCAATAGCCAAAAAGTGGCTATGAGATGATGAAAAATTCCAGGAGATGGTAGGTGGTCGTGGTTATACAGCAAATGTGAATATACTTAATGCCACTGAAAAATTGTTAAAGTAATAAACTCTGTGTCATATGTATTTTACCTTGCTAAAAATAATTGTTCAATTGCAGTTTTTTCATTAACAGTGTTAGAAGATGGAGTTGAAGGACCTCTCAGGAAATAGGGAAAACAGGAACAAAAAGATGTATTAGCAACAAACTAGTAAAAATTGAAATTTTTTAAAAAAGCAATAATTATGTTGCCAAAAGATACACAATATTAGTTAGGAGGAATAATTCAAGAAGTCCGTTGTACAACATTGTAACTATAGTAAGTAACAATGCATTATATTCTTGAAAATTGCTGAGAGTAGATTTCAAGTGTTTTAACCACAAAAAATAAGTATGTGAGATAATACATATGTTAATTAGCTCAGTTTAGCCATTTTACAACGTACACATATTTCAAAACTGTGTTGTACATAATATACACAATTTTTGTCAATTTAAATAAATAACCCCCAAAATCAATACCATTTACTATAGCACTAGAAAACATGAAATATTAAAGGACTGACTTAACAAAATATGCCCAAGACCATTACACTGCAAGCTACAAGCATTGCTGGGAGAAATTAAAGAAGCCAGAGGGACTTAAACATGATTTCAAGATTTATCATTAATCTACAATAATTAAGTCAATGTAGTACTGGCAAATAGATCAATGGAACGGAGTAGAAGGTGGAGAAACAAACTCTTAGAGTCACTCATATATATTTTTTAAAAGTGTCAAGGTATTTCAGTAGGGAAAGGACAGCCTTTTTCAACAAATAGTGCCGGAACAATTGGACATACATATGTGAAAAAAAAAGAACAAGAATGCTGATCCTCATTTTACCTCACATTCAAACATTAACTCAGAATGGATCATGAGCCTGAACAGAATAATCAAAATTATAAAATTTCTTCAAGAAAACAGCATAAAACTTTGACATGGAGATATAATGCTGTGGCAAATATAAAATGGTACAACCATGTTGGAAAAACATTTGACAGTTTCTTAAAACACTGAAACATCCCCAGTCATATGACTCAGTAATTCCACACTTGGGTATCTTTTCCAAGAGAGATGAAAACTGGAAACAACCATTGGGTTGTTTCCATCCACTGGTGAATGGATACACACATTATAGCTTTGGAATTTTAATCAGCAATAAAAAGGAACAAACGATATACACAACAACACGAAGAAACTCATCAGGATTATGTTAAGTGAAAGAAGAGAGACACAAAAGACTACATACGATATAGTTCTGTTTATGTTACATTATAAATTAACAAAAACTGCAAGGCTGTGGGCTGGAGGAAGGGAATGAGAGCAGAAGGGACTAGGGTAGTTCTGGGAATGACAGAAATCATCCACATCTTGATTTCAGTGACGGATATACGACTATATACACTGTCAAAAATCATTGGACTATAATACACTTAAAACGAGTGAACGTTATTGGATGCAAATTATACCTTATATAATTCTAGGTATAGAAAAAATTCTAACATTAAGACAAAAAGATGAAAATCAAATAAAGATAAGGAAGACAAATTTGGGAGGTCTATGAATTACTAATAAGAGATCTGGAAAGCAGTTACGGAAAAACACTGAAGTTCCTATTATTCTAATTTGCCCTCTAGAGAGTGAACTTACAGTACAGTACTCCATGCTCCTTGACAAAGCATTATTTCAGAGTTTGCATTTTAATTTAGTACTATAAATGTGTACAGATTTTCTGTCAAAAATGTTTTAAGACTACTTCTTTTTTAATTTTTCTTTTATTTATTTTTTGAGATGGAGTCTCGCTCTGTCCCCCAGGCTGCAGTGCGTGCCTGTAACCTCCGCTTCCTGGGTTCAAGTGATCCTTCTGCGTCAGCCTCCCAAAAAGCTGGGACTATAGGCATGCACTAATTTTTGTCTTTTGTATTTTGTTTTGTTTTTTGAGATGGAGTCTCACTCATTCTGTCACCCAGGCTGGAGTGCAGTGGCATGATCTCAGCTCACTGCAACCTCCACTTCCCAGGTTCAAGTGGGAACTTTTGTATTTTTAGTAGGGATGGGGTTTCCCCATGTTGCCCAGGTTGTTCTCCAACTCCTGGCTTCAAGTGATCTGCCCGCCTCAGCCTCCAAAAGTGCTGGAATTACAGGCATGAGTCAGCGTGCCCAGCTTTAAGATTGCTTCTTAAACAATTTTCCTTCTCTAAATTATCTTCTACTTCTATGAAGTTGATAATGCTATAAATAAAATATAATTCTAAGCTAATTTGTTATTTAAACCTTAGAATTGGGGCAAGTTGCTGTTTTGAATGACCATGTACTACTGTGCAATTAAAAAATAAACTATTATGTAAAACAGATGTTTCTTAAGCATATTGTGCTTTCATTACTGTATCTCTGAAACTTATCAATTTATCTTTGCTTCAGCAGCTTTATTGAGATAGAATTCACATATACAATTCACACATTTAAAGGATGTGATTCAGTGCTGGCCATTTATCTTTTGAACAGTTTTTGAATAAGATACAGAAGAGACAATGTGAGTCATTGGAGCAAGATTGTAGATCCAGTTTTGCTATGCCCGGGCTAGCTAAGTAACCATCAGTAACCTCTGGGCCTCTATATCCTCAACTGCACATCAGGGGATTAAACTAGATGACTTCTTAGTCCCTAGCTCTTGTCTACTTCAAGATATCTTATTTATGGCTCACGCCTGCAATCTCAGCTCTTTGGGAGGCTGAGGCGGGCAGATCACTTGAGGCCAGGAGTTTGAGAACAGCCTGGCCAACATGCTGAAACCCTGTCTCTCCTAAAGATACAAAAATTAGCCGGGCATGGTGGCACACGCCTGCAGTCCCAACTGCTCTAGAGTCTGAGACAGGAGAATTGCCTGGACCCAGGAAGTGGAGGTTGCGGTGAGCTGAGATCATGCCACTGCACTCCAGCCTGGGCGACAGCATGAGACTCCAGCTCAAAAAACAAAAAAAGAAAAAAAAACTTGTTTATTTTTAACTTTTAATTTCTCTCTAGCACTAACACCAAAATTTGGGATAAGCAGCTCAGAAAGTTATGCTTTACAGCAAGACAGTTGCAACAATGCTCTGAATTGAAGATGGTGCTGGTGGATTGATTACAGCACTTGGAAGTCCTTATAAATCTAATAAGATTCTTAAGCCTCGTCTTGAAAGAAGACAGTTTCATTTTACACATTTCAGTAAGAAAAAGAGAAAGAAGGTAGTCACGGAGTGTGTTTAACTTAGATGAGCTTCTTTTTTCTAACTTTATTTTTCTCACTTCTAAAAGCAAATATGAAAACTCTATGTAGAAAGCTGAATAGATTTGGAAATATATTAAAGAAAATGAGACTAAAATCAGTGGCTCAGCCAAATATCTTATCAAAAATATAAACAATATTGACTGCAGAGCTTTTATTAAAGCCAAAAATGAGAGTCCCCATAAAGGCCAGGTTGATATGCAAAATTTTGTCGCTGCAGATATTTTAACAGTATATGATGTCATTTGTCTCTTTTCTCTATTTCAAATTACAGAGTTGAATCAGTTGATATATATATATTTTTTTTTTTGAGACGGAGTTTCACTCTTGTTATTCAGGCTGGAGTGCAATGGCATGATCTCGGCTCACCGCAACCTCTGCCTCCTGGATTCAGACAATTCTCCTACCTTGGCCTCCTGAATAGCTGGGATTACAGGCAGGCGCCACCGTGCACAGCTAATTTTTTGTATTTTTAGTAGAGACGGGGTTTCA